GCCTCAAACTGGATATCCTTTCTATGCCCATCTGCTTGCTTTTTCATGATTTGTTGCGCCCTCAGCAAATGCCTCTTTAACTCCTCGAGCACTCGATCCCTCTCCACCAAGTACTCCTCTACTGTCGAAACAGGAGTACTATTGCTCCCAAAGTGTATCAAGTGTGGGGGATCCCGTCCGTACAACACCTTGAATGGGGTCATTTGTGAAGCTGAGTGAAATGACATGTTGTACCAATACTCAGCCCAGGATAGCCACTTTGCCCATAGCTTTGGTGTTTATGAAACGAAGCATCTTAGGTACGTCTCCAAGCTCCTGTTGACTACTTCTGTCTGGCCATCCGTCTGGGGGTGGTAGGCTGTGCTTCTCTTGAGAACTGTTCTCTGCAATCTGAATAACTCACTCCAGAAATGGCTGAGGAATACCTTGTCCCTGTCTGATACGATCGCCTCTGGCACTCCTTGTAATCTGACCACTTCTCTGATGAAGGCTATTGCTACTGTTACTGCGGTATAGGGATGTCGGAGGGGAATGAAATGGGCATACTTGCTCAACCTGTCCACCACCACTAAGATCACCTTGAACTCATCTGAACGAGGCATCCCATCTATGAAGTCCATAGATATCTCCTCCCATACTCTACCTGGCAAAGCTAGCGGTTGTAGTAATGCTCCTGGTGACATAGCTAGGTACTTACTCCTTTGGCAGACCTCGCATCTGGCTATCATCTCTTCTACATCTTTATGCATCCCTTTCCAGTACAGCTCCCCAGCTAGTCTCCTGTATGTCTTCTGTACGCCTGAGTGGCCCCCCACTGCACTCCCATGAAACTCCTAGAGTAGGTTTGGGATGTGGATCGACGTCCGGGGCATCACAAATCTCCCCTGATACAGCAGTTTGTCTCCCTCTAGTGAGTACCCCGGGTGGCTACCTGGTTCCTTCAATAACTCAGTCCTGATCTTTCCCAAACTCTCATCTCTAGCGCTTTCTTCTCTGATGGCCTCCCAATCAAGCATCAAGGGAACAGATAGAGCAATTGTCTGTAGTTCCTCCATACATCTGGACAAGGCATCTGCCGCCTTGTTCTCCACTCCGGGCCTATACTGAATCTCAAAATCGTACCCCAGTAACTTGGACAACCACCTCTGATGCTCTTCTGTCACCATCCGCTGTTCCAGAAGAAATTTCAGGCTCCGCTGATCCGTCCTGTCCTGACAATGAAGTGTCTTCCCAGTAGGTAGGGCCGCCATTTCTGGATGGCCAACACGATGGCCATCAATTCCCTCTCATATACTGATTTCATCCTTGCTCGAGCAGAAAACCATATCATAAACAAATGGGAGACTTACCTGGTACTGGTGCAGCAGGTATCATAAGAGGTCCAGAAGGTGCCATGTCAAAACCACTAACACGCTTGCTGCACAGAAAGAGTAAATTTAGATGATAACTTTTAAAAAACTCCTAAGAGCAATGCAAGGAGAAAAAACAGGAGAGATCTAAGAAATGAAACAGCTTTCACATTTTATATCATAAATTAATATTTAAAATTAAAGGAAAATGACTTCAGATGCAATTGACATCGCATGGATGATGCCCAATCATCTCAAGTGGATGATGCACAGTCATGGATACGACATGACACGGACTCGGGACACGTAAATTATTAAAAATATATGGCACATACATGGGTTGGACATAATATTCATATTTTTATATTTTAAAAAAAGTGTATAAAAATTAAATAAGTATATTATTAAAATAATTTAAAAATAATAAGTTATTTAACTAGAATTTATGCTTAAAGTAATTAATATTAGGATGTCAAGAGCCGGACATCGATGTCGTGTATCAGGCATCAAGAGAGGAGACGACAATGCCGTCGAGAGTTGAACATTGATGTTATGCAGTAAATATTGGGTGTCGAAGTCAAGAGGGCGTTTGTCGTCAATGTTGAGAGGACATTGGTCATCGATGTTAAGACGATGTTGGACAAAGATGAGCTGTCAAGTTGTGTTGTAAAAATTGTTAGCTTCGAGCATCAATGTCAAACTTTGATATTGAGATGATTTTGAAATGTCGATGTTGTAATATCGCCAGACATCATTGTTGAGATGACATTGGGCGTTCTTGAGATGACATTGGGCATTGTTGTGAAACCAAAGTTGCAACCCGCCAAAAAGAAATAAAAATGAGAATATTCGATAAATGAGGTATTGAGCGCGGGCGATTGATTTAGTGTTTTGGATAAGAAAATAAGAAATTTAATTTTTATATTTTAAATAAATAAAAAATGTAAATACAAGAATTTATATTTTAAATATCATCTATTATTGTTAAAAATCATTTAAAAGAGTTAAAAATTAAGTGGGTAGACTTATGAAGCTATATTGTGACAATGAGTAAATAATAAATATCACTCATAATCCAATTCAGTACAACAGACGAAAACAAATTGAATTGATAAATATTTCATCAAGGTAAAGCTAGATGGTCTAAACTGCATATCCTATGTATCCTCAAAAAATCAAATTGCTGATGTTTCTACCAAGAGACTCAGTGCAAGCTTTTATGAAAATATTTTCAAGCTCGGAAGATATCTATTATTCAACTTAAGAGGGAGTTGCAAAGCATTAAATCTCAAAAGAAAGCCCAACAGATACAAAGGAGCCTCAAAAGGGATTCCAACTAAAATACAAATCTGGATAATCCCAGCAAGCATATGGAAGGCACAACAAACTCATACAACAGCCCAAGGAATGTTTCTAATTGAATAAAACTCTAAAATTTATTTTCATACACATTAGAAAGGTGCTTCATATACATCAGGTAGGCTTTTACACATCATTCAAACAAGGATATCTTGGTAGAATATTTCTTTTCTATTTTCGTGTAGGATAGTTTCTTTTTTTCCCTTTCTACAGTAGTCAATATATACTGCCATGTATCTGCACTTTTGAATAAATGAGGAGAGAATAACATTCCAGGCCTTCTCTTTATCAAAAATTTTCCCGTAGTTACATTTAAGACATAAAAGTTGCACGAAAATATACATTTTCAAAGGCTAATACTCATTTAATAGCATCCACATTGTAGTCCTATTGAATTTAACTTAAAGTTTTGAGTCATGACAGAAGACTTTTAAGTTAAAATAGGAACCCACAAATGCACATGCATAGAATATAAAGTATATTGCTCAATTTTTTTTGTTTCAAATCCCTTAACCCGCACACCCCCAAACCGCAAAAAAAGGCGGGAAAAAAATGAGCAAATGCAGAATGAATGCTTGGGAATCAAAGCTCGTGGATATTGAGCCTACTTTTTACATACCAGCAATACTTCAATAATAAAGAAAGACGCAATAAGCCAATAAAACAAATCAGTTCTTTGGTAGTAGAAATAACAAACATGTATACGTATAATAAAAAAAGCCCATATTCTAAAACAAAAAATAAAAAACAAGCTAATTTTGCTTCTAAGTTACTAAAGAATACTCTCTATAAAGAAGGATAACATGTTGCAAAAAAAATCAACAATTATAGCAGTAATAGTACCTCTTTGATCTTGAGCGAGAACGAGACCTTGACCTATGTTTAGAATGACCTCTTGAACGAGATGTATGCCTCCTATGCTCGTCTCTATCTCTATAGTCCCTATCTCTATCAAGGTTTCTATGCCTGGAAAGAATTATCAGATGGATATTGACAATCAATATAGGCATTATTAGGGAATTTGCATAAGACAATGCAACAAAGCTCAAAATTCATTTCATAAGAAAATCATTTGCAAGCGGCTGATACATAAAAAAAAACATGTTGACAACCATATTTGCTGGACCTATTTGATATAGAAGTTGCAATATACTAATATTACATAAATACAACGATTTTATCATCCTACAAAGAAAATGATCATTTTTCGCCTAATTTTATTCATACATATAATATTTTATATAATACTCAAACTCAAGATCACACTGTTATTTGGGATCTAAAGCATAGAAATTGATTGAATAAAGTTTAATAAATTTTCATATTAATTTAACTATTCATTAAGCAAGTGAAAAAATAAGGTGATTTAATGATTGGAAGTTTGCTTAAAAGTAAAATTTTGCTCATGCATTCCATAAATCAAACAATTAAACAAACTCAAAATATCTAAAAACCATGTAACTACAATCCACTTTGAAGTCTATATGCATTAAAATCACAATTATCTTCTCCTGCACATGATGCTAAGTCAACCAATTCCTTTGACAACAACGACACTACCCTCTTCCAAATCATAAAATAAATCAACTTACCTGATATTCAATAATATATATATATATATATATATATATATATATATATATATATATATATTATTGAATATCAGGTAAGTTGATTTATTTTATGATTTGGAAGAGGGTAGTGTCGTTGTTGTCAAAGGAATTGGTTGACTTAGCATCATGTGCAGGAGAAGATAATTGTGATTTTAATGCATATAGACTTCAAAGTGGATTGTAGTTACATGGTTTTTAGATATTTTGAGTTTGTTTAATTGTTTGATTTATGGAATGCATGAGCAAAATTTTACTTTTAAGCAAACTTCCAATCATTAAATCACCTTATTTTTTCACTTGCTTAATGAATAGTTAAATTAATATGAAAATTTATTAAACTTTATTCAATCAATTTCTATGCTTTAGATCCCAAATAACAGTGTGATCTTGAGTTTGAGTATTATATAAAATATTATATGTATGAATAAAATTAGGCGAAAAATGATCATTTTCTTTGTAGGATGATAAAATCGTTGTATTTATGTAATATTAGTATATTGCAACTTCTATATCAAATAGGTCCAGCAAATATGGTTGTCAACATGTTTTTTTTTATGTATCAGCCGCTTGCAAATGATTTTCTTATGAAATGAATTTTGAGCTTTGTTGCATTGTCTTATGCAAATTCCCTAATAATGCCTATATTGATTGTCAATATCCATCTGATAATTCTTTCCAGGCATAGAAACCTTGATAGAGATAGGGACTATAGAGATAGAGACGAGCATAGGAGGCATACATCTCGTTCAAGAGGTCATTCTAAACATAGGTCAAGGTCTCGTTCTCGCTCAAGATCAAAGAGGTACTATTACTGCTATAATTGTTGATTTTTTTTGCAACATGTTATCCTTCTTTATAGAGAGTATTCTTTAGTAACTTAGAAGCAAAATTAGCTTGTTTTTTATTTTTTGTTTTAGAATATGGGCTTTTTTTATTATACGTATACATGTTTGTTATTTCTACTACCAAAGAACTGATTTGTTTTATTGGCTTATTGCGTCTTTCTTTATTATTGAAGTATTGCTGGTATGTAAAAAGTAGGCTCAATATCCACGAGCTTTGATTCCCAAGCATTCATTCTGCATTTGCTCATTTTTTTCCCGCCTTTTTTTGCGGTTTGGGGGTGTGCGGGTTAAGGGATTTGAAACAAAAAAAATTGAGCAATATACTTTATATTCTATGCATGTGCATTTGTGGGTTCCTATTTTAACTTAAAAGTCTTCTGTCATGACTCAAAACTTTAAGTTAAATTCAATAGGACTACAATGTGGATGCTATTAAATGAGTATTAGCCTTTGAAAATGTATATTTTCGTGCAACTTTTATGTCTTAAATGTAACTACGGGAAAATTTTTGATAAAGAGAAGGCCTGGAATGTTATTCTCTCCTCATTTATTCAAAAGTGCAGATACATGGCAGTATATATTGACTACTGTAGAAAGGGAAAAAAAGAAACTATCCTACACGAAAATAGAAAAGAAATATTCTACCAAGATATCCTTGTTTGAATGATGTGTAAAAGCCTACCTGATGTATATGAAGCACCTTTCTAATGTGTATGAAAATAAATTTTAGAGTTTTATTCAATTAGAAACATTCCTTGGGCTGTTGTATGAGTTTGTTGTGCCTTCCATATGCTTGCTGGGATTATCCAGATTTGTATTTTAGTTGGAATCCCTTTTGAGGCTCCTTTGTATCTGTTGGGCTTTCTTTTGAGATTTAATGCTTTGCAACTCCCTCTTAAGTTGAATAATAGATATCTTCCGAGCTTGAAAATATTTTCATAAAAGCTTGCACTGAGTCTCTTGGTAGAAACATCAGCAATTTGATTTTTTGAGGATACATAGGATATGCAGTTTAGACCATCTAGCTTTACCTTGATGAAATATTTATCAATTCAATTTGTTTTCGTCTGTTGTACTGAATTGGATTATGAGTGATATTTATTATTTACTCATTGTCACAATATAGCTTCATAAGTCTACCCACTTAATTTTTAACTCTTTTAAATGATTTTTAACAATAATAGATGATATTTAAAATATAAATTCTTGTATTTACATTTTTTATTTATTTAAAATATAAAAATTAAATTTCTTATTTTCTTATCCAAAACACTAAATCAATCGCCCGCGCTCAATACCTCATTTATCGAATATTCTCATTTTTATTTCTTTTTGGCGGGTTGCAACTTTGGTTTCACAACAATGCCCAATGTCATCTCAAGAACGCCCAATGTCATCTCAACAATGATGTCTGGCGATATTACAACATCGACATTTCAAAATCATCTCAATATCAAAGTTTGACATTGATGCTCGAAGCTAACAATTTTTACAACACAACTTGACAGCTCATCTTTGTCCAACATCGTCTTAACATCGATGACCAATGTCCTCTCAACATTGACGACAAACGCCCTCTTGACATCGACACCCAATATTTACTGCATAACATCAATGTTCAACTCTCGACGGCATTGTCGTCTCCTCTCTTGATGCCTGATACACGACATCGATGTCCGGCTCTTGACATCCTAATATTAATTACTTTAAGCATAAATTCTAGTTAAATAACTTATTATTTTTAAATTATTTTAATAATATACTTATTTAATTTTTATACACTTTTTTTAAAATATAAAAATATGAATATTATGTCCAACCCATGTATGTGCCATATATTTTTAATAATTTACGTGTCCCGAGTCCGTGTCATGTCGTATCCATGACTGTGCATCATCCACTTGAGATGATTGGGCATCATCCATGCGATGTCAATTGCATCTGAAGTCATTTTCCTTTAATTTTAAATATTAATTTATGATATAAAATGTGAAAGCTGTTTCATTTCTTAGATCTCTCCTGTTTTTTCTCCTTGCATTGCTCTTAGGAGTTTTTTAAAAGTTATCATCTAAATTTACTCTTTCTGTGCAGCAAGCGTGTTAGTGGTTTTGACATGGCACCTTCTGGACCTCTTATGATACCTGCTGCACCAGTACCAGGTAAGTCTCCCATTTGTTTATGATATGGTTTTCTTTTGTGAGTGCATTCTATAAACTGATAGCTAATGAGGACATTTGTTTCAATGTTCTTAATTTTGCCTTACGCGGCTATAGTTATTTATTATTTTAAGCGTAGTGTTTCTTTGGCTATCAGGATTTTAGATAAGATTAATTTGTCTGATTGATTTGTTTTTTCTTATTGTGCTTTTTTTTAAGCGGAAACTGAGCAGAATTTGGTTCTTTTGTTTTGGTTGTTGTTTGTTTGTTTTGTATATAATTCTGGTTGTAAGAAGGCAATGTTGGGCTACTTGTCCGACTGTGCTGCCACTGGGCGTGAGCCGACTACTGTAGCTTTTTTGTACAAGGAGGAATCAATGCATCGGTTTGATGGATCTGTTCATCTACTATCAGCTACTATTTCCTTTTGGTAGTCTTTATGTGTCCTCCAGTACTTAACTAGCATTCTCTTTTCTAATGACTTCTTGTTTGAAGACAGCAAAAATTTGTTATCAGCAAGACCTACAAAGCTCATTCTGCTTCTATCTTTGTTCTATTGTGGATGGTAAGTATGATTTTCCTGTCGTGGCATTTAATGTATTTTATAGGCCAGGTACCTGTTGCACCGACTGCTGTTCCTGGGATGTTCCCAAATATCTTTCCTTTAACACCTGGACAGGTTAATTCTCTCATCAAGCAAAGCTTCCTGTGTTTATTTTTATTTTTAACAGTTGGTGAATGTAATATAATTTTATTAGTATGTAATGCTTGTTATCTTTTTCATGTAGTTTTCTCTTCCGGTAATGCCAGTTCAAGCTATGACCCAACAGGTATAATCCTATTCGTGCAACATTCATTATGTTGTTGACACTGTGTAAACTTTTGAAACTTTTAGGCAACTCGGCATGCTCGGCGAGTGTATGTTGGAGGTCTTTCCCCTAGCGCTAATGAGCAGGTTTGCACCTTTTAATACTGCCTTGTTTTATTTTTTCCACGTCCTGCTTGATGCAACATTTTCAAGCATGCTTCGCATCTTTTTCGTTGGCTCTAGATGCAGAACATACTATGCCAGGCTATTTCAGTGTTGTTAAGAGTGCACTACATTGTAATCTTTCGACTTGAATTGAATTAGAGGCACAGAATTTTTTGTTTTACCCTAAAATGCTAGGTAGAATATAGCTGCGTTCTGAAGATGTGGAAATTTGATTCGCTTTTAAAGGATCAAGTAATCCAAGAGGACGCTTCAAATAAAACCTACTTTCATAATAGTTGCCATACTTAAGTTGTTCTTATATGCTCGTTTTGTTATTAATGGATTTTCTCAGCTTCACTGAGTTTATATTCTTTTGGTGATTCTGACTTCAAAGCAATGACTTTTTTTTGCCTGTAAATGCTGGTGAAACTTAACACTTTTTATTTTTTGTTATTTCATGCTGATACTTTTTTAGAGTTTGTTTGATGATCTCTTTTATTCTTCTGCCTTTCTTTTAGGACGATCCTGTTCACTGCTACTTTAAGTATGCATGCTTCTTGAGTGATGTAGTATATCTTATGTATTATTTAATTCTTATTGGTTGTTTTTCTATTATTCTACTTAATTTAGTACACGCTGATATTAATACCCATTTGATTTTGCTTCAAAAAATGTGGCTTGTAAGTCTTCCACTGTAAGTATGCGCGATTTGAAATTTTTTGAAGCTTGCACTTCAAAAGATAAATTCTACTTTGACCCTTGTTTTTCCCTTTGAAGCAGAATAACGCCTAGTTCTTTGCTTTGTGCATTGTGCTGTTAAAATATTGGAATATATTTCGTTGCAAATATGAAATCTAACATTATCCTTGTAAAAAATGAGGTATGTGATTTAGTTTGCCAAATGCAATAGATAGTAGTTTGAGGAGTATTGAAGTAAAGCCCATTTGATGGTTGCAACACAAGGATGTTTAAATTTGTTGGGTTCAACATTTTGTTTCTACAACTCCTGTTATTGACTTTATTATTTTGGTATAATTGTGAGGCTTTGACTATTGCTTCAGTTTGTAATCTGAATACTGGAAGGAATGTGAAATTTAGAATTTGTTGTTTGTATACTACACTTGATTTATGAGATGTGAGATTTAATTTTGGCTAAAGTGAAAGAAATTAATATATAGACAAGAAAGAAAGTCAAATGATAATGATTCAAGTTTTTGAAGTATTGTTTATACTATATTGGAGAATAGATGGGGCAAAGTAAGATGCCTTTAGATTGCTTAGCTCATTTTTTAAATTCAAGACAAAATTTTGATATTTTTTTAATAATGAATTATCATTTTGTAAAATAGTAATTACCTCTTTTTTTATATTCTTGGAAGGTATTCAAGTAAAGAATTATTTTAATATGATCTCAACATATTTCCTCACATAAAGATTTAGAATTTTTAAATATTAGATTGGCATGTTTTGAAATATCATTTTCCAAAAGAGGAGAGACAAAATGATGAATGCAGAGCTTGTCAAATTTTGGATATATAGAGGATTTGGAAGATCAAGAATTTTTATTTGATAGGTGGATGATGGATCCAAAGATTTAGTGGTTGAATGATGGAGCTTCACCATCTCTACTTCAAATAATTGTCATAAAACTTTTTGGTCATGTTTCCTCCTCTTTTTGTGAGTTAAATTGGAGAACTTAGTCATTCAATTAATGATAAGGATCAAAATTATTCTGCAACATACTGAAGCTTAGTTTATGTGCGCACAAACTTTTTTCTTCTACCAAGAAATATCCCAATTTATATGAAAGATGATAACAAGATGTGAGATCTTGCAGGAGATGGCTTTGAGTCCCTCAATGATATGAGAATTTTGGAGATTGCAAACTTTTCTCAGGATGAGCCAGAATTTGAAGCAATATTATTTAGTAATGATAATATTGAAGATCAAAGACAAATATATGATGAAGTTAATCCTATTATTTCTTTTAGTGTATAGTTGATTATTGAATATTGAATCTTGATGTTCTACTAAAAAGTTTATACTTTTTTTAATATCATAAGCTAGACAACTAATTATGGATCATTCATCTTTACAAAGCTAATATTAGAGCTCAATGATTTGCATTTTTTATTATTCTTAATATTATGTTTATTTAATTTCTAAGCATTATTTAAAAATTATGGGGCTTTGTCCAAAGCCATATCCGTGTCCTATATTTTAAATAATTGACGTGTCTAATGTCTTTGTCGTTTTTACGGTATTTGTATTTGTGCATCATAGATAAAGTGCCATTGAAGCAACCAAAGAGGCTTTTGAAATCTCATGTGGCTGGGGGAGAAACAATAGAACAAAAAAAAAGGTAGATTTCTAGTATCAATGATGCAAGCAAGAGGTTCTTGAAATCAAGATAAAATAGATTAAGTTGATAGCTTTTAAGGTTTTAACCGGGTGGATCTACTCAAACTTTATCTGGCGGGTTTTTTTAGCCTAATCACAATCTTGAAACTTTTTCTGGGAAGGTTTACGTTTTTTTCACCGATTGAAAATCTTGAAACTTAATTTGGGAGATGTAGCTGCACCTCAACATACATGTTGGATCTGTGATGAAAAAATAGTTCTTGATTTGTGGGAATTTTGAGGTTTGAATCTGTGTTTCTTCAAATGTTTAAGGTGCGTATGGTTTTTCTGTTATTGATTGTTTGATTCTACATGATTATTTTTCTGTAACGCTAATGTCATTTTCTTTATTTTAATTGTTTCCTTTTAATTTCATCAACAAGGAAGAGCTTATATTATTTACCTTTGTTTTTGTCCTTTTTATTGATGGTATTGTCGTCTGTTATCCACCCTGTAAGCAGTTCCTTTATCTTAATTAAATTAAAACAGTATAAAGGAAACAATCACTGGAATGAATGGCAATTAATAATTTCATATTGTTGTTCTTATAAGCTTGAATTATGGCCTTGGATGATAATATCATTGGTCTTAATTAGAGTCACGGTCACTCGTACTTTTTCAAAATTGGTCATTTGAAAAAAATAATTTTTTTCCTTCAGTCTGTGGCAACTTTTTTTAGCCAAGTTATGGCAGCCATTGGGGGGAACACTGCTGGTCCAGGTAAGAGTTTACATGTCTTATGTCCATATGTACTATTCTTTCGTGAAAGATGATGAAAGATATACTTAACCTATTTTATCATTGTGAAGGCGATGCTGTTGTTAACGTATATATAAACCATGAGAAGAAGTTTGCTTTTGTGGAAATGAGGTCCGTGGAAGAAGCAAGCAATGCAATGGCCTTAGATGGTATTATTTTTGAGGTTAGTGAAATATCAAGCTGAATCAACTCGGTTCTTTTTTTTCTGCTGTTCTACTATTAAGGTACTTCTGTGGATCCAGGGGGCACCGGTGAAGGTAAGAAGGCCAAGTGACTACAACCCTTCTCTTGCAGCCGCTCTTGGACCTAGCCAGCCCAACCCCAACCTGAACCTTGCTGCTGTTGGTCTATCATCTGGCTCGACTGGGGGTCTTGAAGGGCCCGATCGTATTTTTGTTGGTGGTCTTCCATACTATTTCACAGAAGCGCAGGTGCGGGAGTTGCTGGAGTCATTTGGTTCTCTTCGTGGTTTTGATCTTGTCAAGGACAGAGAAACTGGCAACTCAAAAGGTTATGCTTTCTGTGTTTACCAAGATCTCTCTGTTACGGATATAGCATGTGCGGCACTTAATGGCATCAAGATGGGAGATAAAACCCTTACAGTTAGGCGTGCAAACCAAGGTGTAACACAGCCTAGACCAGAGCAGGAAATTGTATTGCTGCAGGCACAACAGCAGGTAGCATTGCAGGTAATTGCACATATTTTTATTCACCATTGCTTGAATATTTCATTGAAGTTTCCTTCTTGGAGCCCCTCATAATTCCTATCAGGTTTGGTTCCCATTGGTGTAAATCTCCTGTCATCATTGTAGTTGTTTTGATATTTTCAGTTTGAATGTACCCGTTTTACTAGTTTCACTATTTTGAGTTTGAGAACCACCACTCTATAAGTAATCGAAAACTTCAGTATGGTACTTTTATATTCTCCCTCAATCGTCACTCACGTTTTTGCTCAAAATATTAAAATTTTTATTGATATTCCATTTGCATTCATACTGTTTTGATCTCATAGGATCACAACTCTGGTCTAGTTTAGACTCAGCAAATACCCTCTTTTAACCCCAAAAAAAAAAAAAATCAAAAATAAAACTAGACCATTTTAAGTGAAAAAATACCGATAAACTTCAGTTCCTTAAGGTAAACTTAACTTTTGTTATGCCTGACTTATTGTTCCATCCGTAGTCCCTTGAAGGATCACACTTAGTGTCAAGAATGTGCTGAAAAGACGCTTTAAACAAGATTTCAATACATTCATCACCACCTGTGAGCCCCATTAGGGCAAAACTGAGGTTGTATATTGATTTTTTTTTTCTTTTTTCCCATTTTAAAACCAATTATTGTGGATCATTTTCCATTTATACATGTCGAGCACTGAAAATTTATAAAATTCATGACGAACAGAACAAAGAGAATGGAAGAAAGAGATGTGGGATGAAGAAGGGAGAAAAGAATACCTTTTGTGTCACAGAAGAAGGGAGAAAAGAATACCTTTTGTGTCACAGCTCTCTGTATTACTTAGTGCTAACTATTTTCACTGTTAGAATTTGGATATCGGTTTAGTAGTGAGCCGCATTAAAGCACATTAAAACAGGTTTTGATATCTATTGGCTTCTAGGAGCAAACTTCTTGTGAACTCAGGTCCTAAGTTAATTTCTGCTGCAGTGAGCTATTTTATTCACCATCATTAATTTTCATTATTTTATTTTTAGTATAAGTAGAAGAAATATCCTTATCTATATTCCTATTAATTTAATATTATTCTTGATATATCATCAAAAAATTATCTTGATCGGGCACGAATCTTGAGGCAAAATCAAGTTGGAAACTTTCAAAATTAAATGTGGGACCATCTGAACTCTGATTTTTGGAAACTTACAGTTGAACTGAACATCTTGAAAATATGAACCCAACGACACCAAATTCGACTCAATCCGAGCCCAAATGAATCCAAATTGAAGACCTGAAACGTATTTGGAAGGCTCAAACTATAAATTAGATGACCAAAAGGTTTCTAAACATTACATTCTTATAGTTGAATCGAGCGGCTCGACGAGACGAATCCAACTAGTCCAAGATTGTTGAATTCTAGCATCATTAAGACATTCAAATGCCCAGTAAACTGTCCACGATCAAGGGGATCAATACCGGCCGTCCATTCAAACTACTCCCTACATACTGTTGATCTCCCTCCTATTTACTTGTCATGCTACTCTCAAACAACTATAAATAGACCTCTCATTCCTCATGGAAAGGGGACCCAAGAGAGGAAGAGAAACTAGAGTTCTCTTGCCACTAGACTTTTAGATTATTGTCAGAACACTGACCGTCGTCGGACTTTTGTGTCACGACCCGACCCGACCCGGGACGGATCCCGCTCGCACCGGGCCGCGACCAAATCTTTTATCCAGGATCTGGCTTTGGAATTTGCTTACTGAACTGAATCTTCCAAATTATTTCAACTCAAAAACCAACACACAGACACAGACCAGAGCTACTATGAATCGTCAATTGCAGCGGAATAAAACATCTATATTTTTCCTTTCTTTTCCTCAAAACAATCATCTACAAATACGGTACATGGCTAACAGAAGAAATACAGAAGAAAAGCCATGACCGTACAAAAATCAAAAGTACAAAAGTACCTATCACAAATCAGACTCTGAACTCTAGTCCTGGACTTCATTCCCTTTCCCAGAACCTGAAAACCACCAGAAAACGAGAGTGAGCTCAACAGCTCAGCAAAGCAACAAACCTCCAATCAAAATTCTCAGAATCTCAAAACCAATTCATCAAACAAATCCGTACAGAAATCGGAACAGAATCGTATCTCAAACCAGAACAGAAACAAATCAGAACTTATACGGACATATATTAAACCAGAATCAGAGTCGTACAGATCAGATCACATCAGAATACAAATCAGAACAGAATAAATTAACAGAGTCAGAATCATACAGAAATCAGAAATTCAGATCATATCAGAACAGAACTAAACGGAACAGATATCAAATCAGAACAGAACTAAACGGAACAGCTATCAAATCAGAACAGAACTAAACAGAACAGCTATCAAATCAAACAGATTAGATCACATCAACAGAATCAGAAATCAGAATTACAGATCATATCGTATCAGAATCATAATTGCTTACAGAACAGATACAGAAATCAGAATCATATCAAATCAGATATTTAATTAATAGCTAAACTAAACTAAACAGAATCACTACGGATTCTGACCCTTATGTCTCCCTTGTGCTCACGGCACCAGAAATTCTCTGAGTAATTAATAGCTAAGCTAAATGTGCTCACAACACCAGAATAATAGAATTCATCGGATCCGGAATATAACAGATATTTCTCCAACTTGAGCTCATCTAAGGTTTCCCCAGACACTAACTGAATCTCATAGGATCCAGGCCCCTTATAACTCCCTTTTTATAGCATATACAGATAGCGTATCAATTCAGAAGAAATCCGGATAAATCAGAAATCAGACAAAATTGGGCAGCACAACGGCAGTATACGGAATTTACACAATTTTTTCCTGAAAATCACAATTCACCAAATTCGCACAGAATATAGATAACAACATTTCAGAACATTTATTCTACTGCACAGACAAGTTTCACTTACACAGAAAAATCCAGTCGACTAAAAACACAGTCGAATCAAAAATACCCGGACAAAAATCTTCAAAATATAGTCAAAACGTGCACACCCGGCACGGCAACATAATACAAAAAGTTACGCGGTAAAAACTGAACCAATCAAAAGATACGGACGAAAATCACTAACGGAAACAAAATCTGGACAGAAAATACCGCCAAACACGACAGTTCTGAAAATTGAGAAAGGCGGAATGTGCCTTACCTTGCGTACAGCAAAATCCTGAACAGTCTCTTCGGACGAAAACGGCTCCGCGTCGTCCGAAAATCAACTTTTCCAAAAATGCCCTCGACTTTCTCTCTCCTCAAAATCAGATATTTTGTTTTTGATTTTCTCTCTCTTCAAAACGATTGATTTCAGCTTTATAAAACTCAGATCGGCCCGGCCGATCGTCATATCGTCCCAGGACGATCAGACCAAATTTGATCGTCCTGGACGGTTCCCAGGACTATTTTCCGGCCGATATTTTCTACAGTGCCAATCGGCCTGGCCGAAGTCCTCGATCGGCCTGGATGATGCATACAGAAAATCACCTGGAGCAAATCTGGGCAAATTCTGGAGCAGATTCTCAACTGATCGTCCCAGGACGATCCCAGATCGTCCTGGACGATCCTGGAGCAGATTTTGATATTACATTTTGCCTGGCCACCGATTGACCCAGACTTCTGCCCAGCTTCCAATTATTGCTGGACTTATGCCCGGCCACCGATTGGCACTAGACTTCCTCTAGGACACTGAGTGATGCCAGACTTCCGCCCGACCACCAACTGATGTTGGATTTACACCCAACCACTTACTATCGACGGTCTTTCCAACCTCTGTTGCCCGCTGACAATGGTCATGTCGCTCGCCAACTACAGTCCTTCCGACCTTCATCGTTAGACAACGGTCTTTCCAACTTCTGTCGCTCGCCAACTACGGTCTTTATGACCATTGTCGCACATTGACTATGGTCTTTCGACATTCGTCACCAGACTAAGGTCTTTCTGAACTCTATCGCCCACTGACAACGGTCTTTTTGACCGATGTTGCCCGCCGACTACAGTCCTTCCGATCTCCGTTGCCAAACAACGATCTTTCTGACCATTGTTGCTCACCGACTATGATTGTTCCAACCTCCATCACCATAATACGGTCTTTCCTCCGTCGCCTGTTGACAACAATCTTTCTGACCAACGTTGCCCCGCTGACTACGGTACTTCTGACCAAGGTTTAAAATTGCGTAATTAAGTCTCGAGGCGGTTTTCGTCCGTGAGGCGAGGCGTAAGCCTTGAGGCAGTCTGAGGCGTAAGCCTCACGGACACAAAATTGCGTAAATGAGAAATTAAGGATTTTAGCAGGCAAATAATAGCAATATTCTATCTTACAATAAAAATATCTAAATGATATATGAAAATAGTGGAAAGTAAGAAAATAGATGCAATAAAATCATGTCCCAAAGTACAAATAGAGGTATTCGCCTTTTCTTTGCCTCTAACCATATTTCCTAAAGCAAAAAATCCAAAAACACAAATCGAAAAAATAAAAAAATTAGATTTTCTTTCACTTCAAAAATCTAACCCTAAACTAAAAAAAAATACCTAAAATCGTTTGTGGAGTACTAGAGGGCGGCCGGACACTTCAACTTCACCGGAGAGAGGCGGCGCCGGTAGGAGAGGCGGCGGGAAGGGAAGCCGACGATGCGGTATGCCGTCTGTTTCACGACCAGAGAAGGAAATTTTCGGAAAACAGGGAACCCGTGCGGGATGAAGGGAAGAAGAGGATTCATTTTAAGTAGGTGGGGCCGTTTCTGTGAGGCGTACGCATCACCCAGAATTGCGCAATTGCACCTCTGAGGTGTGCCTCATACCAGGTGAGGCGTACGCCTCTGCCAGGTGAGGAATTGCGTAAGCCTCGAAGCGTTTTTGGGTCAAATTGCGCAATTTTAAACAGAGCTTCTGACCTCCGTTGCCAAACAACGGCCTTTCTGACCACTGTTGCTCATCGATTATGATCCTTCCGACCTCCGTCACTAGACTACTGCCTTTCCGACCTTCGTCGCCCAGCAACTACGTTTCTTTTGACCTCCGTTGCCATACTAAGATCTTTCTGACCATTGTCACCCGCCAACTACGGTCTTTCCGAACTTTGTTGCCATACAACGGTCTTTTCGAACTCCGTCACCAGACAACGGTCTTCTGACCTCAGTCGCCCATCGACTACTATCCTTCCAACATCCATCGCTAGACAACGGTCTTTCTAACCATTGTCACCCACTGACTACGGTCCTTCTGACCTCCGTCACCCGCAGACTACGGTTCTTCCAACTTCCGTCACCAGACAACTGTCTTTCTGACCACTGTCACCCGCCGACTATGGTCCTTCCAACCTCCAGACAACGGCCTTTCTGATCTTCGTCGCTCACCAACTACGATCCTTCCGACCTCTGTCATTAGACAACGTTCTTTCTGATCACTGTCGCCTGCTGACTGCGGTTCTTTCAACCTTGGTTGGTAGACAACGGTCTTTCTAATTGCTATCACATGCCGACTACAGTCCTTCCGATCTCCTTCGCCAAACAACCGTCCTTCTGACCTTTGTTGCCCGTCAACTAAGTTCCTTTCGACCTCCGTTGCCAAATAACGGTCCTTCCGATCTCCAATTCTTGTCGACTATGATCCTTCCAACCACCGTTACCCGGCTACAATCTTTCTTACCTCCGTCGCCCACCGACTAGGGTCCTGCTGACTAAACGAACATGTCAATACTAATTCTTCCAATTCCCACCATGTAATGCACTTTATATGATGTATATTTGCTACATCAAACCAAGGCCTTCCCCTAAGGAAGGGTCTCATTTGTAATTGACTACAAACCTTAGTGAATTCATTCAAATAGGGCCAGGCCCTTTGGTTTTCCCCCTTTTAAGGGGTTTCCACATAAAAACTCTAGTGTCTCTTATGAATACTACACTTTCTATTTTATCTGATTGTGCGTTGGATCTCCGTACAAAGCTAAGATGTTAAACTTTATATTTCCCTATCGCCGTGAATATTCTAGGACACAACAATTCTATTGTTAAAAAAAAAAGTTTGAGGTGCCTTCCTAGCATTCAAGATTGAAATTCTTTTCTCATCTTTTTGAAGGCGAGTTTGAAAACTCAATTTCTTATGATTTGAGCCAAACAAACTATGGAACTCACTTCTGAAGGTGAGATCCAATCACTTTTATACACTTTATAATGGAATAACATGGTCTTTACAAAAGAGTCACCCAACCTTAGATTATTTTGGCCAATTCTTAAAGCAACTACAAAATGGTGAAATCGTCCATTAACCATGAATCTTTAAATGCATAGTCTTTAAATGTTCAAGCATAAATATAAATTTTATTAGCAAAAGAATGATAAAATCAATATAATGGCCTTTTAACTCTGCAATGATAAAGTAAATCATGTGGAAGTGCAAAGAAATCAATTATATGAAGCAACTTATAAACAAAACATAAAACCAAAACCAACAAGGAGGTGCTCTGGAATATGGATGTCTCCCATTAATTCCCCTCAGCGGGAAAGCTCTCTTCTCTTAGAGACTAGAGGTGGCATTACTCTGGTAAGGCCCAAAAATAAGTGAATTACCTCGTCTGTTAACAGGTGGTACATCACTGGAGTGTTGCTATTGAGAACTATCTGTGAGCTCTTATTAGTCTGATTTAAATGGTTGTTGTATTATAATTGGCCTTGTGACTGACCTTGAAGAAGCAGTTACTCTTCATATGGAGACACCAATATAAAGTGTCAGGGAAATGAAGAAGTGGGACTAGTTTGATGTTGGGCCTTTTTTCTTTTCCTCGTAACGTTTCTAACCCATTACCTCTCTATTGGTGATAAGAGGCAATGACCAGGTGACCTAATGTCAGTACTCAGTAGTCTACAAATATTCATGTTAATAACAAAATTAACCGCAAATGCATGAATGAGATTCTACCTTTCAAGTAATCTTGGAAGGGGCAAAGACTCTAGATTTGTTTTTAGGTGGAGCACTAAGCAAGCGTGATAAATTACAACCTAAGCACTATACGACCAATATGGATATTTTTGAAATTCAAATTAATAAGGGGCAGCGCCCCTGGAAGGTCGAAGGGGCAATGCCCTCAGAACAAATTTTGGTTATAAGGATATTTTTGAAATTCAAATTAATAAATAAAATGATGAATTCTGTTTACTATTTGCTTGGAGCAATTGCTTAAAGATCATAGTATTTTAAAACTTTTAGGGGGGGGGGGGGAATTACTTAAAAATTCTTATAATAAAGACTAAAAAATAGATGGAGCGGGACAAATTACCTAAATAATAATTTATTTATTTTTCTTTTTTATGGGGGGCAGTTTTCCCCCCTCGAGCTCCAGCGAGCTCCAGGGGGATCCGCCCCTGCACTGAAGTATTTGCAATGTGAGGTGTGATTCAAGTTCCCCAGTTTCATCCATTGTAACTTAAAAGATTATATGTGGCAATCATGAAATAGTCTATTCGCAATGTATGAGTAGGTGATCTTATCTCTATTAAATTTAGTATTTATAAACTTGATACCATATTCACCTTTGCTTATAGAATTTAATCATTGAAGTTTATGGTATTGTTTGTCAACATGTACTCAGTACTTCTTGTAGAAGTTGGTGTACTTTGTCGCATTCTCGTGAAGCTTAAAACCAGAAACTCCATAGCCTAATCCATTTTTAATTTGGTTTTCTAAAAAAATAAATGCTGTTCCTGCAGAAGTTGGTGTACCAACCTGGATCCCTTCCAACCAAGGTGATATGCTTGACACATGTGGTTTCTGAGGATGAGTTGAAAGATGATGAAGAATATGAAGATATATTGGAAGATATGAAGGGAGAAGGCGGCAAATATGGTTGGTCCTTGCATATATTTTAATATGCTATTAAGAAAATTCTTTTTGGGGTTTTATTTGCAGAATGATCTTCATTAATTGCAGAAGTTGGTACATGTTTACCTATCTTATGATCTCATAGTATCTATTAATGTTTTTCAGGAACTTTGGTGAATGCTGTCATCCCTCGACCTAGTCCAAATGGCGAGCCAGTTCCCGGAGTTGGAAAGGTTTGTACATAAACTTCGCTTACATTTTGAAAATCATCTAACTTTATTGATAAAGGACATTATATTCGTTTCTCATTTCCACCTAGCCTTTATATTTCCAACAACAAACAACAAACATCAATCATTTATCACACAATGTGGGGTTGGCTATATGAATCTTTTTTCTCCATTGTGTCTTATTAAGAGTCAAATTCTTATTTTAATCTAATAAAAAAATCATTTTTAATATTTTATAGCCAAGTCTTTTTAGGTCTACCTCTATTTTTCTGAAAAAATATTGTGGGAAGCCAAACCCTCTTCGGATATCTAAGCCTGCGACTCAGCACCATTCGGTATCGCGGTATTGCGGCTCGCTACCGCTACTCGGTATCACTGACGTGGCTCATTCTAGTTGGTATCCTGATATAGAGCTGCGTTCAGCATCCACACAGAATAATCCCTCTGTTTTTCTTGACATAAATCAAATCCAATACATCCACTCTCCTAACCGGATCATCGGAAAGCTGACATTTTATGTAATAGCCTTTATATTTCCAACACAGTAAATTTGATTTAGATGTTGCCTTTGAAAGGATGTTATTCTTCATGTTTCTCCTTCTAGATAAGCAATTTTGTCCAATCAAATGTCCCAAATTGTCTGAATAAGATTTCGTTTGGGATGACTTTCTTACTGCTTCTTAAAACAGATTTCTAGTATAAAATTTAATTTTTTTTTAATAAAAAACTACTTTAAGAAGTAGTAATAAAGCCATCCCAAACGCAGCCTAAAACTAACTAAATTTTTGTCCTATGGAATGTCCCAAATTTTCTGAATCAGATATTGCCTCCTAGATAAACCAATCTTGTAAATTTTCACAACAACTTGATATTTGTGTTGTATGTCAATACGGATTCATTTTTTTTTTTTTATCCCAGGTATTTTTGGAATATGCGGACACCGAAGGGTCCGCGAAAGCTAGGCAGGGACTTCACGGTAGAAAATTTGGTGGAAACCAAGTGACTGCTATCTTTTACCCAGAGATCAAGTTTGCTCAGGGAGAATATGATGACTAGTGTAATTGTTTATTGTACAAATTGATACTTTTTGCTGTGATCAAAGGTCCTAATCCTGTTGTTCTATGAACTTTTTTCCTAATAATTTCTCAGGATTAAGATTTCGAGAGCTTTGAGGTTGATACAGGTTGTTCATATAAGATTATACTGCACTATTGTGGTTGGTATTTTTGGTGTTATTATTTTGACATTTTTTTAGGGATAAGATTTTAAATAATTTAGATATATTTTCTTATTGAAGTTTTAGCTATATAAAAGTTGATTTTTTTCCTTAAAATCTGCAGTTAGATTGGCTCTAACTTGTGATCAATATGTTAGATTATGGATTCGTTTACTGTTTCTTAAAATAATTTTTTAGTACAAAAATTAAAATTTTTGTATTCGAAAGTTGTTTTAAGAAACAGTAAAAAAATCGTCCCAAGCGAAGCCTATAACTCCCACTCGATCGGTATTTATTTGGTTTGAATCTATCAGATGGACTAAAAATGCCATTTAAATTACAATTTATGTTGAGTGTTTGATTTATATGTAATTGATAAATTATTGGATTTATTTAGGCAAATGTAATCAAATTCATTTATCCATGTATAATTTTCTATTTATGAATCAGATTTATTTAATAAAAAAATAGATTACAAAGTTGAGAGCATTTGATTTGTCTTATGTGTTCATACGAGCTTCTTGTTTAGGCCATCTGCAACTAAAAATTTTAATTTTTAATCCAAAATATAGTAATCTTTCAAAATGCAGCAATTTGTCTCAAATCGAACTTTATTTTCTACCGCAAAAAAATATATTCTTTATATATTCTCTCTCATATTTTATTATTATATATATATATATTTGTGTAATGGAATGGAAAGTGTAATTGCTTATGAAGAACACTAGGCCACTGGGCCATCGTGCAGGTTTGTAGAAATCCTTTCTTTCTCATCTCTACAATACAAAGCTACAGGATCTTGCAGTCTTGGTGTTTGAGGTAATGCATCAAAGCAGCTAACTTCGGATTTTCCTCAACTTGAGGTTCACCCTCTACGATCCAGTAGTGGTACCCTTTCAACTTCAAATGAGGCCCCTACTGTGATGAAAAGAAAAGAATTAATTCCTAATTCACCTCCAAGTAAAGCTGTTGTTAGTTGACGATGGTATAACAGTATCCCGCTAATGAAGGCAACTAAACATTAAAATTAGTATATTGATTCCACAAATAATCAATCAATGCATTTCGCTGTGCAATGAGGGCATATTTATTCTTGATTTGTTTATAGCGATTGATAAATTCCTGAAATCGAGTATTTTCATCCACCGCCATTTCGACCTCTAGGGGTGACGCTTCTCTCACAACTTTAACTATGATGAGATTGTTGCAACTTAGTTCTTGATTATTGATATTCTCGCAACATGTCTATTTTTTATGATTCTAAATATTATTTCTTTGATTAATATTTATCTTAACATATTTTGGATGCATTGTTTTGCTGTTCGTGTGTACTAACATTTTAGGAAAATCATACTCCGGATTGTTGAAAACTTCAAATCAGATCAGTTTAGAGATTATTGTAAATGAATTATGTATTTTTTATTTTATTGAGTATGAGAGAGTGTGATTGTAATTGAGTAACTATGCACACGTACATCGGGGGAGAATTAAAAATCTATAATTTTTAAACTAATCGTATTGTACGATAGCTTTTCGTATGGGACGATCTGATCAGTTAGTTTCCCTTTCGGACAATCAAATGAACATAAAGAAGAAAATTTTTCTAAGTATAGATCGTACTGTATGAAATACCATTTGTACATACCTTCCAGAGTATGAATTGGACGAGTCCCTTTTCGTCCAACTGAAATTGAAAATTTTCTGAACAGTTCGTACCTTACGATGTCGTCATCGTACGTACACCGTCCAGGGTACAAAATGGAGGAGTCACTATTCGTCCCGACGAACTTAAAAATTTTATAACTGATCGTACCGTACGATGTCGTCATCGTACGTACACCATATAAGGTAAGAAATTGTGGGGTGCCTCTTCGTCCTGACGAAGTTGAAAAATTTTCTAATTGTTCGTATTGTACAAATTGAGTTCGTACGAGACGATGATCGTGTACGAATTATTTCGTACAGATTCACAACAGGTTCGTACACAACAGTTTTTTTAACTATTCGTACGTACGAATATTCGATCATACTGTACGATCGTGTACGCTCAAAATAAAAAATTTCAATTTTCTCAACTGTTTTTTGTGTCTTTGATATAAAAGGTTCACTAAAATTGATGTGAAAAAGTCTGGTCTTCATGATTTTTCAAGGGCAATTGAAAAAGAGTGTGTGAGAGACTATTTGAGAGAGATTTCTTACAAGTAGAAAGTGAAGAGTTCACAAGATTACTCAAAGTTAATGATCTCTTTGTGATTTTGGTTATCACTATTCTTCTTATCTTTTTAGTTGCTCATGAGAAAAATCTTTGAAGAAGATCTGGTACTCTATTGACACTCAGAGTGTAAACAGACGACGGTTCTCTGCCGATACTTGGAGAGTGTAAAAGGACGAAGGTTCTCTGCCGACACTTGGAGAGTGTGATACGATGACGGTTCTTTGCCGACACTTGGAGAGTGTGAAAGGATGACAGTTCTCTGCTGCACCGGGGATTGGTGGAAGAGAGGATTTATAAATGCTTCTCCGCCTTGCTGTGGGGGCAAATGGATAGACACTTTGGTAATAGTGTAATACCTGAAGAGGAAGACTTCAGGGAGTGGATGTAGGTCGTGTTTGATCAAACCACTATAGATTTTTGTTTCTTTTAAATTTTCATATTTGATTTACTACAAGTTATTTACTGTAGTTGAAAATTTTGTTTTTTAAATCTTAATTAACTTGCTATTAACATCAAAGGTTTTCAAATTTAAAAATCTAAGAGAAAATTTTAAAATTACCAATTCACCATCCTCTTGATTAACCTTGGGATAATAGATTATGTTTACCAACCTAATCAATAATCAACAAATTGGTCAATTGAGATTTTGTTCATCTTCAACTATCATGTTATGCAAAGTTATGCATGTAGTCATTATATCATGTAGTACTTCTTTGCTTCAAAACTGTATTGGCCCTGCTACAATTGTGAAAAGAAATTAGAGAGCTCCAAAAGCACGTTCTACATTTTTTCTACACGCTTCTTATTTTATTGCAAAATATTATTCCTTTGAAATACGTGATTCTTGAATAATTTACACAATAGTAGACTAATTTGGATATATATTATCAGCCAAATAATAACCCATGTTATATTATTTTCCCTGAATGACGTAATGACATGAAGGAGCTATATCTTAAGTGAGATTGGAAAATAGATGAAAAGACTCCAACAAATTTATATCATTGTTGGGAGATGTGTTAAAAAAGATCTGTTTAGTCTTGTATTCATATTATTGAGAAAACAACAAGGAAGATGCATGTATGCATTCAACAGGTTGAAAATAGACATATTAGTGGTGTTTAAATGAAAATATTGTGAGTATTAATGATTATTTTAAAATATCTCTTATTCATTTCACAACTTATTTAGTTATAATTATTTATATTAATTTGCAGTTAGATTAAGCCAAACTATTATTTGTACAAGATAAGAAGTTTAATCTAAATTGGAAGTTTGACCATGTGTGGACCATTATAAAAAATTTGAAAAATTTCAAGATGGTCAATCTAGTTCTCGACATGCATCTTGTATGTTGAGCATTTGTTATGTCTCATTGAAGTCAAAAAATCTAACCCCTAAATCTAGTAAACAACAATCTCGTGGACACACTTCATTCTCTAAATCTAGATTATGAAGAATATAATGTTTGTGACTCTTAATCTGAATGAACTATTGGGGTGAAGAAAGCCAAACTAAACAAAAAAATTGATGAAGAGACGAGTTACTATTGGAGACGAGTTACTACAATTTTTTTTAGTATTATTGCATTTTAGAGTTAAAACTTAAAAACTTAAAATTGAGTTTTTCGGATGTAGATGGCCTTAGAGCATCTCCAACCGAAAATCTCATTTTTCACTCCAAAATGCCGTGATTCATCTCCAATCGAACTCCATTTTTCACTCTTTTGCAGGTAACGGTCGCCTCTTCTTTTCCAAAGCAAGTTCAATATATAGGTAAAAATGACGGAGATAAACTAGGGGTGTCAATTTCGGGTCACGGGGTCGGGTTCGGGTCGAACCCGAAAATGACCCGACACTATTCAGGTCAACCCGAACCCGGCCCGTTTTTACAAACAGGTCGATTTACCGGACCCGAACCCGACCCACTTCTGGTTCGGGTCAACCCGACCCAACCCACAGAATCAGCAAGGAGCCTTCAGCGTGGCGGCATCGAGCCTTCAGCGCGGCAGCAGCTTCCGACGGGAGCGATGTTCGGTGTCCAGTGGCAGCTGTCACAGACTCACGGTCACGGGGTAGTCACGAATCAAGCGGTGGGATGCGACGCGGGGCCAGCAGAAATGACCCGAAGCGACCGCGGGCAGCGGGCATCGGTCACGCAGGGGGACAGGTGAGTCAGTGGGGCAGCCGGTCACACGGTATTCGGGCATGGGGCGGGATTCGAAAATTTTTAAATTAAACGGGTTTGCGGGTTGACCCGGCAACCCGTCGGGTCAACCCGAACCCGACTTGTTTTGAAATCGGGTCGGGTCCAACCCGGATTTTCCGGGTCAGGTCCGGGTCGGATTTTCGTGTCGTGTCAAATATTGATACCCCTAAGATAAACAATGCAATGTAATGTTAATATTGATGTCCCATTGTTCACCCGCAGTCAAACAGCAGGAGGGACTCCATTCAAGCTCCAAAAGTACGGTTGGAGATGCACTTAGCGCAGGACTATTTACTTTTTAGCTCATATGAGCTTCTTTGTTTTTTCCCTTTTTTTTTCTCCCAAATGCAACAGGACCATCGCGTTTCCCCTTCCTCATCCTCCGCCGCCGCCGCCGCCGCCGCCGATGCTAGCGGCAGCGAAAACAAGTCGGAGACAGCGCAGTGGACTGAGGAGGAGGAAGTGCGGCTACTTCGTACGGCACTGGAGATTGCTCGAGAGCGGGTGGAGTCGTTCGACGCCACGGTCTCCCCAGTGGAGCGCGTCAGGCGAGCCGTCGGTGGAGACTTCACGGCGAAGGAGATCGTGCAAAAAACCAAGCAGCTCCGTAAGAGG